TTTGTTTAAAATCCCTTTGGAGTTTCACTCAAAATCTGATTTTCTCGGTATTCTTTTCGAAATTATCTTGGAACTATTTGCAGGATGCACTAGAAATTATCCGTAGAATTTTATTGGAACTCTCCCCAGAAATATTTTGGAACAGGGCTAAGAATTCAATATCTTTGACGTTCTTCTCAGAATATTTTAGAACTTTTTATTTTCTCAGAACACTTTGGAACTGAAATTCCCCTAAAGTTTCAGAAGAATTTCTTCTGTATTCTCCAGAAATTCTTCCTAGAATTAGCTTGAAATTATCCTCGGAATTCCCTTGAAATTTTTCTGAACATCCCTTTGGAATTTCATTCAAAATTTGATTCTCTCGGTATTCTTTTCGAAATTATCTTGGAACTATCTGCAGGATTTACTAGAAATTATTCGCAGTATTTTCATGAAATCATCCCCAGAAATCTTTTCTTTTGGAACTGTCCTCAGAATTCAATACCCTTGAGGTTCTTCTCGGAAATCAAGTTTAATTTGTCCGTCCATTCACCAAAACGTTGTAGTTTTTCTACCAGAAATGTGCAATAAAGCTTGCCCCTCCATTAACCAGAACTGTGCAATTTTTAGATCAGGAATTTTCAATTCAGCTTGCCCCTCCATGCAGCAGAATGTTGCAAATCACACACCAGAAATTTTCAATACAAACTTGCCCCCAGAAAATTTAACACCAGAAAATTTGAATTGACCAGAACGATGCAAAAAATTTCCACCGTTAACCTTCAATTAAAATTGCTTCTCCAATCTTCTGAATGGTGCCGATTTCCTTTTTCCATTTTCCACTATTGTCCCTATTTTCATATTTTTCATCATACATTTTCAGTAAAGCAGCTTCCCTCCAATCATCAGAATGGTGCAAATTTTACACCAGAAATTATTATTAAAATTTGTTTCTCTATTCAGCAAATTTAAGACCAAAAATTTTCCGAAAGCTTGCCCATCCGTTCACCAGAACGGTGCAGATTTTCCACCAGAAATTTTAAATTTAGCTTAATTTTAAATAAATCTTGCGCCTTCATTTACCAGACTAGTGTAAGTGTTCCACCAGAAATTTTCTGTTCATTTCATTTATCAAAGCGATGCAAATTTCGCACCAGAAATTTTCAATAGAGCATGCTCCTCCATTCACCAGAACGGTGCACCAAAAATTGTGAGTGAAGTTTGTTTCACCATGCACCTTTGTGGTACAATTTTCAGGCTTTGCCTCTTCATGCAGAATGGTGCAAATTTTCCACCATAAATTTTCAATGAAGCTTGCAGTCATCAGAACGATGCAAATTATGCACCAGAAAAAGTAATAAACCTTGCTTTTACATTCACAACAGTGTTTCCACCAGAAATTTTCAGTTAAATGTGATTCACGATTCAATTTTAGAACTAGAGTTATTCATTTTGATAAGTCCCTCTTGATGATATTGTTACACCAGAAAAATTCAATAAAAAGATTTTTCTTCGATTTACCACCACGAAGGTGAATTTTTTAACCTTATATTTACCCTTTTCTTTTAACCCTCCATGAACAACCTTGAAAAAAAAATTACACCGGAAATGTTTTGTATTCACCAATGTGGTGCAATTTTTTGACCAAACAATTTAATTGAAGTTTGTCCCTTCATGCACCTTTGTGGTGCAATTTTCAGGCACCATCTCAAAGGAATTGGCGCAATTAAAGGGTTTCTATTTACCTGCAAATCAAGTTATCAAGAAATCTAGATATTTTTTATCCTTACTTTGTAAATGTGGAAATAACAACCTTATTTATAAAAGGTGGGGCAATTGTACCACCTTGCCCCACCCTGTGTACGCCAGTGCGGAGCTGTGGAAAGAGGGAGTAATATGTCTGGAGATTGTACGGAGATTAGTTCGAGGTGGTGGATGCATTTGTGTACCTTGGATCATTGGTGATGTCAAATAACAACTGCAGGATAGAAATTTGGAGACGAATTATCGCCGGAAGTCGTGCCTACTACGGACTCCACAAGACCCTAAGGTCGGGTAAACTTCAAGCATCTCCGCACTAAGTGTACCATGTACAAAACGCTGATAAGACCGGTAGTACTCTAGGGGCATGAAACATGGACGATGCTCGAGGAGTTTTCGAACGACGCGTGCTTAGGACCATCTTTGGCGGGGAATATGAAAACAGTGTTAGGAGTAGAAGAATGATCCACGAACTGGCGCAACTCTATGGTGAACCCAGTATCCAGAAAGCCGAATAATAATCCAGCAAAAATGGTGTTTACCTCAAATCCGGCTGGAACAAGACGCAGAGGAGCGCAACGTGCTAGGTGGTTGGACCAAGTACAGCAAGATCTAGGAGGTGTGGGACGCTCGAGGAATTGGAGACAAGCAGCCAGGGATCGAGTTGGTTGGCGCAACATTGTTATGCAGGTCAAATCCTGAGGGACGTCGGACCAGCAAAAGAAGGTAAGTTACAAAATAATACATTGATATACTTGTCAAAATGACGTCTATATTAATATCAAAACAAAACACTCTCATTGACGCTGGATGGTTAATGTTCAGATGAGTAATTGGATGAATTTCATTGAAGGCTACATGCATACTGTAAATTTAGGTACTCTGAGACCGATATATACGAGGGTCAAATTGAATCATAACAGACGCGATGGTCAGCTCAATCAAACGTACGTCGAGTAACGAACATTCCAGTCTCGGAGCACTTAATTTTACATGACATGTTTCTTTACGTCTTATTCTTTATATAATTGCTTTTGCTTCTATGAACTGGCAAATTCCAAACTCTGAGTGAGTGAGATTCATGAAGCTCGACCTAATGGCCAGTAAGGCCATCCCTGCAATCATCACCGGTTGTTGCCATCTTCAATAGGTGGAGAACACAATTGTAACGATATCTCCTAGATAAATTTCAAAAACCGTTCGGTGAATCCGTTTAATTTCCATTGATTTGCATTCCATCGATTTTGTTTTCCTAACTGAGTACCAACGCTACCGACACCAGGGAGGCAGCTCCCACACCTGGACCCTACCCATTAGACTGATGCAAAATATGAAATTTTCACTCCACAGTGTTCAAACTGTTTCAAATCAGCCTCCGATAGTTTAAACTCATTTGATAAGAAACTGACTTGGCACAAACCATTCGAAGTTTATATGGAAATTACTATGGAAAAGCAGAACTTTTTGTTCATTGTCTTTTATCCTTTTTACATATTGTACTGTTAACAATTCTAATGCTATTCTTATGGGAATTTTTATCAGCTACAACTTTGCAGAAAATCGTTTTTCAGCCAAACGTCAAATTAAATAGTTATTAATTGTTTAAGGGATTGAAAATCTTATGGCATGATTAAGCAACTGTATTGTGGGCAACACTGTATTCTGCAGTGTGACTTAGTAGCCATGATTTTTATCCTCTATTCTACGCGCCATAAACACCAATGTTGCCTGCTGAACAGTTGATTGAGCATAATCATAAGACATCAATGACTTGAATCATTAATAATTTTTGTTCCTTACATTTGATCGAAAAGTGGTCTTAAACAAAGTTGTAGCAGAAAAAAAATACAACAAGCTCAGCTATGATTTTCTAAAGTAGAGTGAACTGATGAATTTTAAGATAGATATGAACCGAAATTATGGTTTCTCCATAGTAATTCCCATATAAACTTCAATTGGTTTGTGCCAACCCAGTTTCTCACTAAATTAGTTTAAATTTTTGGAGGCTAATCAGGGCCCAATTTCAAATTTTGCATCAGTCTACTACCCATAGATTGATCAGCTCATGGACCGGGAACCAATGGCTTTACTTCCCATGATCAGAGATTTTATACCTCTGTAAAAAAAATTATCCAGATTGGAACCAGTTCCAACCCAGTGCGAAACCGAACTTTTTGTCAGTGCGAATCTCAACTTGAGGTAGGTTTTAAAAACAAACTGACGTTAGTCATAAAACAGGCATACCCGATCAAGGTTGTAATTGAATCAAATACAAATTCCGTAATTGTTTAGGACATCAGCTATGCATCCCATGAAAAACGCTCAATAACTGCGTTGTCACTCGGATTTACTGCCAGTATTTTTTTTTTTTTTAGAGGAAAGGAGCGGTGAGCAAACTTCTAGAATAAGCATCTGTTAGAAACTATGAAAACACGAGCAGGACAGTAAATCTGAGTAGCTACGCAGTATATATTTTGCGCTTTTCAGGTTTATGGAAAACTTCATGGTTTTAAGGGTATGATCACCATTTTCACGTTAACAACCACTGCATGGATGCAGTTCTCGGCTGTCAGTTACTCGATTTTGCTATCGATGGAGCTGTGTAAGCTCAGTAAAAAAATATTTTTTGCTGAACTAATCTGGCAATCAACCTCTAAAGGTGACGCTCAGCTTTACCAATTTAATTTTGATGCGGCCATGGTGAGTTATGAGATAAATCAATCAGCTTGTAGTAGAAAATGCCTTACGTTCCATTCATTTGTTGCTGTACCGATGAACCGTCCTGTTGCAATTTTGTCTATCGAGTAAACAAATGCGTGTTGACCTTCAGCCGAACAACACTCGTTAGTAATCGTGGCACTCATTATGCCGGCTAATTTCCTGAGCATTACAGGTGGGATAGGTTTGCACATCCCGTTCGATTGAACAACAGCTAAAAACAGAACATCATTGCTAGGCATTTCCATGCAAACGAACCACTTTCATATACTTACAACTTATCATCCTGCACCGTCTTTCGCAGGTGACTCTCTTTCAAGTATTTATCAATCGTTTCTTGAACTCTCGGTGCAACTCCCTCGTTCATCTTTGGCTGCCGCGACAGAATCCAAGCACCTTCTGTATGAATGATGCTACCTATCTGGAAACAGCTCCACACAACAGCAAAATTGTCGTAATCCGTGTCCAACACCCAATAGTTTGAAGCTACCGGTACTGAATTTAAGCACAAATCAAACACATACATTTTTTCATAACCTTACTTGCCCCTTGCGTCCAACTTACCACCATTGAAGGTAACTTGCAATTTTGCTGGCACGGCATCCTTATTCGGGTAGGACAGAACAGCACGGCCCACAATGGAAACGCGCTTCTGACGGGGAGGAACAATCATACTGTTGAATACCCGAACGGTTCCATCTTTGTTCAACGAGTACTGGGCTGTGGAGCATTCTCCACCGAGTTGAAAGGGCTGTTCGTAGCGGCTGATTTCGTACCACAACCCAACATATCGCGCAGCGTCAAAATTCTGCTGAACGGGCCGTTTCGGGCATCTTCCTGAGGCGATAATTAGTGCTACTGCAAGCCGCCCCAAACTGAGAACAACGATCACTGATGTTGCAATGTAGACGAATTTCATTGTTCTGTTATGAAACTTCAGGCGTGTGTACGATCCGAGTGTAGTAAACTTAATGATTCACCCTCCGGTTCTTCAAGATCATTTATACGCCTCACCGAGAAGGTGAGAAACCTTCTCGATTCTTTCAAGACAGCGCGTGTGTAGTGGAAAACCAGTGGAATGAGATTGAAGTTCTTTCGGAAAAGATTTTGTTTTTGCTACCACGATGACTCGTTATTTGCTCTCTCATTGCGTCGAGCGCGCGATGCTGGGGACGAACATGGCAATCTGTTTACGATTGTTATTTGCAAGAATGTTCAAACCATGACCACGACCGGTGGCGGTGTGCGGATGATACACGCGCAGGTAGAAATAATTATCCAATCATTTTGCTTGTATAGTTCAATGCTCAGAAAGTGAAAGCCGGCTAACGTCACTAACATTAACGTTGTATGCTTAAAAACATCCGGAATATTACAATTTCATGAACTCGTCACTGGCAACTGTTTTGACAAATGTTCATGACGTTACAACCGGGTCTCGAGAGTAACCGACCATAGAGTTGAACAATTTTCTTCATACTTTATCTATTTAATGAAGGGACTGGGAAAAGTCAGTTTGAAATACCGGCGTAACAACCCTGTTTAACAAAAATCAAAAACTATTTAGCACAAAAAAGTGAAGCAAACATTACAAAGTCCAAAATTTTCAAATATTGCAGAATCTCAGTTGAAGCATCAAGGTTGATCACATCATGTTAGGGAGGTTCCATAAATTATGTCACGCAAATTTGGCCCATTTTCAACTCCCCCCTTTGTCACATTTTTTGTATGAACATGAACCTTAATTTTTTTTTGTATGGCTCGTCACAGTTTTCAAGCCACCCCCCCCCCCTCCCCGCTAAATGTGTGACATAATTAATGGACGACCCCTTAGTAGATGATCTTAGGAGTGCTGATTGAACCAGCGAGCGAAGCGGATGTGTTTTATTTCTTCTCCTGTGTTATTGTAGACCGGTGATCGCATTTTGTTAGTTATAAATCCGGTGCACTATAATTGGATTTGATCGAAAAGGTTTTTGCAAATTATACTTTCTCGTATTGCTGATGCAAAAGTGCTTCGTGTGCTGTCGCGTTTTTCTCTGTTGCCCAGTATAACCTCTACCGCGCTGATCTATTTCTCTGTTGCTGCGATGAGCAATGCCTTTGTGTAAAATAAGCAAATTCGGAAAACGTTCGATCATACTGTGTTTGAGCTTGGCATTTGGCTGAGCGGAGTGAATGACCAAGTGTCATATGTAGCTAAAATCATTTACGCCACTGCTGTTGAGTATGTTTCGAATGTCAGTTATTGCATTTCTGGCTGCTTTCGCTAGAAATGTTAATTCCGAACTTGATAGAAAGTCTTCCTCTTCTATCAGTGTAGAGTCGATTTGATTATACAACGCATTTGCGTAGTTTAATTTAGCTTGGAGTGTTTCAAGTTTGAACCTTTGGTTTATATATTTTTTAAATTCTTTTGTAGCGTTAAAATGGAATACTTATAACGCTACAAAAGAATTAAAAAAAAATCTACAAGTAAAATTGAGGATTATATGTAAGAAAAGTAAATCATATCTAGTTATTGTGTGGCTGGAATCACTGAAGGAGGCTTTGCGGTGAATGATGGTCATGCATGTCAGTTTGTCGGTGAAAAAAGGTATGGAGGACAGACTGGCCTCCATTCGATGAGCGAAAAAATCGTCGTATTAACCAGCAAAAAATAGCTGACAAAGCGAAAAAACGGAGGAAGCTTAATAAGTCCAGAAATAATACCAACAACAACGATAGAAACAACAACAGTAATTACTCACATCCCAACTAACAATTTTCGCAATGTAAACGCTTTGCTCATTTCATTTATACAGCCTCAAGCTGTATTCAAATGTTATACGATATGAGGAAACCTTTACTCAACCTCTTAACAAGCAAATCTGTCGAACTTAGTCAGCTACTTATGGCTGTTGTGACGGTTGGGACAAGCTCTTATTGTATATCAATTTACGCTTCTATACAGCTGTTATCCTGCTGTTTAGTTGTGTGTGAACTTGAAAGGCGCTTACTCAACCTTTACCCGATTATCCAATAATAACTACACAGCTTTCTCTTGACGCCAGGTAAAATATTGTTTACGCTTTTGACGTAGGACTACGTCTTTCGGGACGATGGGAGTACACTTTATGAAAACCGACAAATGAAATTATGAAAGATTTTTAACGTTAATAACTTAGCTGCCCCTGAACCAATTTCAAATAAATTATCACCAATCGATCAGAAACATTTCTACGCAGCGATTACAATACTTTTGACTGTTATTTATCGAATTAAAACTATTGAAAAAGTAGTGAATTTCAAGCATTGTCCAAAAGCTTCGACATAACTAGCAAATCCACCAATTACGTACATGCATATGCTGCTTCCCCAACACAGTCATCAGAGAATGGTTCCTAGATGAAACAAATCGAAGTGACATTCGCCTCCGATCTTCGGGCGTGTACGAATAGCAAGGATGCCATTGCGGAACATTTTGCTGCCAATTCAGAACCACACGCCCCCAACGACCACTCTCCGTTTTTTTCCTTGTATTTGTTTTCCGTGCAGAGCACTAATGCTACCCACATGAACCCTACCTATCGACCCATCAACTCAAGAACCGAGGACCAACGGCTTTACTTCCCTTCCGAAGGAAGGCGTGATCAGAGATGTTATGCCTCAGAACATCCTGGTGGCGCCGACTGGGATTGAACCCAGGTAATTACGCTTACCTGAATGAGAGGTAATTACGCTTACCACTACACCACCGGCGCCGCTGCTCTCCAGAGTTGTAATTCTATAACCAAACTTGGAAGCAGGGGATACTCTATATAAATTCTATTCTAACTCTTTTCTGAAATGGCTTCTAACTTTTCAGGGCCACCAATGTTACGTTGGTGATAAGTTTTAACCTCCGAAACCATACAGAGTGGGCCCCTGTTGCTTCAGAGCGTAGACGACATCCATGGCCGTGGTGGTTTTGCGCTTGGCGTGTTCAGTACAGGTGACGGCATCACGGATCATTATTTTAAGGAACACCTTCAGAACACCTCGGGTTTCCTCGTAGATCAGACCGGAGATACGCTTGACACCACCACGACGACGGATGGGAGGCCCTGGATGTTATCACGCAGAATTTCCCAATATCGACAAAGCTGCATCATCATGACTGTATGTAGGAAGCGAGAAAATATGGTACCGGCAGAGCTGGTTGTCTATATAACTACGCTTTTAGCTAAGTTTCGATTCAACTGAACGTATTCCTTCCCGACTTCCGGCTCGTCAGACTTGATCGCACCTGCTCTGGAGGTGGAGGAGTGGCCATCGCTGCAAGACGGAACATCAGTTGCCGGCTGCTACCAAACTTCCAGCTGAAAACAATTGAAGCAATTGGAGTGGAGGTGAGCACATCACTTGGCCCAATCACCATTATCGCGGCCTATTGCCCCAAGCAAACCAACATCAGGGACGGGTCGTCAGTGGCCCTCCGCAAAGACATCATCAAACTCACCCGGAGGAGCGGGAACTTTATCATCGCTGGCGATCTGAACGCAAAACTTCAAGCTTGGGGCAACGGTCGGAGTAATAGAAACGGCATCATCCTCAATGAAGACCTGCAAGAGGGCCACTATACCATCTTGGCCCCGGACTCTCCCACCCGGTTGAGTTTGTCTGGGGTCCATGCGACCATCGACATCTTTGTAAGCAACATGGGACACAACGTCTCGCAACCTGTGGCATTCCAGGAGCTGAGCTCGGACCACTACCCGGTGGTGCCCGAAGTTGGATCCTTGGTAAACCGATTCGAAGCTTCCCGGCGCAACTACCATCGAGTCAACTGGGCGCAATATCAACACTGCGTCGACACAACCATCGACTACGATGTCCAACCGGGGACGTCGGAAGATGTTGACCGGTGTCTACAAACCATCGAGGAGGCGATTTCCCGGGCCAGGGAATAACACGTGCCAGTATCCAGACAGGTGAGTAACACCCTGAACCTTGACAGCCCTACCAAAGATCTCATTAGACTCCGTAACACCACTCGTAGGCAGTACCAGCGTACTGGCCTGCCTAACTTGAAGACCAATTGTAATCGATTAACAAAGATCATTCAGGCCAGGTTGGTGGATCTCAGAAATAACGATTTTGCTAGTAAGATCCGCTCTCTCCCAGATTGTGCTAAGCCCTTCTGGAAACTTACAAAAAAATTTAAAAACAAGCCTAGGCCCATTCCCCCCACTGACCCCACTGGATCGTCCTGGCAACCCAGTGGTTCATCTGATAACTCCTGAACAGAAGGCTGCCGCGATAGGTCAACACTTCGTCAGCTCCCATAATCTCGGACAAAACATCGTCAGCCCTCATGAATCTGAGGTTTCTGAAAATGCAACCAATCTTCTTCAGATTCCTAACATTTTTCCAGAGGAATCCAAGATTACGGCTGACAAACTGTTGGCCTATATCAAATCATCTAAAAACATGAAGGCCCCAGGTTTCGACAACATCCTGAATCTGGAACTCAAACACTTGAGTTCCAGATTCTACAACCATCTGGCACTAATTTTTAATCAGTGCCTCAGACTTGGCTACTTCCCCTCGTGTTGGAAGTCAGCTAAAGTCATACCCATCCGGAAACCTGGGAAGGATCCGTCCTCTCCTTCAAGTTATCGACCAATCATTATTATTTAGCTTTATTAAGGAGGCTTTCAGCCTTGGGCTGGTTCGCCTCCAATATATCGACCAATCAGCCTTCTCTCAGGGTTATCAAAACTGTTCGAAAGAGCACTGTACCACCGGCTCCTAACATCTGCCGATGAAAACAACTTGTTACTCGAGGAACAGTTTGGTTTTCGGAAAGGTCGTTCGACCACCAGCTGACTCGAGTAACAAACATTCTCAGACGGATCAAGTCTGTTTCGAAAACATCTGCCATGGCGTTGTTGGACGTTGAAAAAGCGTTCGACAATGTCTGGCATGATGGCCTGGTGTTCAAATTGC